TGCCCACCAAATTGCTAGATTGAAGGTGCCTTGCCTTGATCTCTATATACTGTACTTTCTCTTACATGAACCTAGAAGAAATCAAAAACATCATAAAATTGAAGCCTTGGATCATATTACCAGGAACAACATCAACCCTTTGAGTTTGTCACTTGTGAACAATTAAGCCAGTGTTGTGGGGGATGAAGGAGGGCAGGGGAAAGATTTAGAGAATGCCACAGAGATGCCACTGAAGTTTTTGCACACTTAGTCACAGGCTTTCAGAAGTTGAAAAATATAGGCACTCTCTGTATGCTTAAGAAGGAATTTGTTTCTTAGAAATAGCAGCAAAGATCAAACTGTATCTCAGTCTGGAAAACTGTGTGGCAACACTCTCTTGGCCTCTTGCTGTTACCTTGATATTTTAAGACAAAAAGAGGAAACCATCCGTTCCTTTTTTAGCACTGTATTTCTGGCAATTTGTTTTATCACATCTTTGTGCTGAAGTCCCTGACAGAGACTGCTGATTATTTCAAACTCCCTGTCTGCTCAGCTGAACAGTCTGATTCAGTCTGAATGAACTCTTCATACTAGTTTTCAAATGTGTTCTGTTTTTATAAGCAACATTTAGTGCACTCTTCAAGGAGGCTACTGTAAAGCTGCTACATTCTAGATAAACTTTTTCTTTTTTCTGTAGGTCAGACTTCCTTTTGTATGTGTGATCTGAGAACAGCAAGATAATGCTTGATGTTGGGTCTTTCTAGGGAGGGAATGAGTTAAGCATGAAGCCCTCTATCCATGTAGAGAAAAAAAAATAAAATACAAAACTAATCTAAAACTGTGATAAAAATGCAAAGAAACTTTGACTTAAGACTGTGCCCTTGCCTGCTAGCACTAAATCTGTGTGCGCAGGGAACAACAACACTTTATTAAAAACTTCAGTGTGCCCTTCTCGTCCCATCTGGTCCAGTGGGATTTGTGCACCATCCCCGAGGAAACAAAATCAAACCAAAGCAACTCGGATGGTGAGCTGGGGGCTGCAGGAGCCAGGAGAGGCAGCAGCCCTGACGCTGCACTGGCGGCCGGCCCTGCCGTGGCCCCAGGCCTTCCTGCAACAGTGAGAGGAGAACTTGACGATATTTCAAGTAAGGCGAAACAGCTGAAGGCTACATTCTTTCTCACCTGATTCATGAGGAGGGAATACACGAATTCATGTCCCATTCAGCTGTCTTATACACCCAGTGTAAGAGCCTGAGGAGAGACAGGGCTGGAGACCTGGCTGAGCCATGCAAGGAGGATCTGGTGCATTGCCTGATCCTACATAAACAATATTTTCAACATTAACCTTTTGGTCCTGAGTAACTATGATCTGTGAACCAGTCTGGGAGGCTATAATTAAGGGCGGATTTAATTTCTTTAAGCAGTTAGTACATACTGGAAATACAGCTTTTTGCCTTTTTCTTTTCTTTTTTTTTATTATTGTTTTCTAGTTTTGTTTCTGTGGGCTAAATTCATATGAGTGTTTAATCCAATGAATCAATGCCCTGATTTTTTATTTTTCTACAATCTGTTTAAACATAACACAGGTATCTTCGTGCTTTGTTTCCTCCCTTTAATTTTGTCTTGTCTCATCTGTTGCATGGGAAGAGTATGACAAGGATGAACTAACTGCATGTTGTAGGTTGTGTCTGTCAAAGAACTGTTGGTCAGTGTTACAAATTTACATACATATATGCAAAGAGTTTGTCTGCATTGTACAGTTTGTGTTTATTCTTATTTGTTGTATACACAGATTTAACATGATGAATAAAACATTTATATGAAGGCATACTGGAAACCAACAGAAAAGTTTATGTAAGAAGTAGACTGTGCAAAGCATCATTGCACTGCCCACAGTATGGTGAAACTTCATGTAAATAGGTTGGCAAACTCAGTTCTCCCCCTTTACCATGCCAAAGAAAATTTCAGCTCCTTAATATAATACCTCTCTTGCTGTTCTCCAGGATGAGACCACCATTTTCTTCCCTCTAAAATTAATTTTGCTGTTAAGTGAAAGCTGTTTTCAACTGTCTGTTACTACTAAAGTACTGTATAGTAAACCTGATGGAATCAATTTGTATTTACAGATTGGGGTTTTTGTACTTACATGTGCAGCTGTCCGTGAATCTGCAGCGTTCCAGGTCTTTTGCATGCTTGCATTGTATTTTGTTCTTCTGGGTTTTCTCTAATCACTTAGAGACTGTTCACACTGAAATCTAACCTCATCTTGCCATTTTATATGTTAACACTGCACAGTCATTTTCTTCTCTTTTTTGATCTGTATTTCAGCTACAGTTCTATTTGGCAAAATCAGTCACACCTGCACAGTTTTAGAGATCCACTTTTGAGGAGATATGAACTACTTCAACAAAGCACCATTTTGCTGTACTTCAAAAATTTTATAAATTCACAAGAATCCTTATGAGGTTGCTCACAAGACAGAGCCTATGGAAGGGTCTCTAGCTCCTTTTAAGTGCTTTGTACTTCACATAACAGAGCTTTTGCTTCATTTTCTGGGTTTTTTAGCCATTCTCAATTGATTTTTTAATATACTGTCATTTTCATAAATGTTGGTTCTTAATAAACCCCTCCCAGGCCCTTCCCTTCACCAGATATAAAAGTTAAGCAATTCACTTTGACTATGGTATATACCTGAAACAATACTAAGAACCCTGGCTTTACATTTATATATATGGGGAAATTTTTGTGTTGGTTTAAAACTAGTTTAAGCAATGAGGTATGAAAGCAGACAGTTTGGTCCATGCAGTAAAAGCATATCATGATGATCCATCTGTTTATTGCTATAAAGAATACATTATTCAGCTACATTCAAATGGGAATGGAAGCAAAATTAGACTACATAAGAAGGTTCTCTTTCTTTTAAATGGCTCTTTAGATAAATTCATATTTCATGCAATGCATTCTAAAATGTTTAATAACAGGGGTTTTTTTCTGTGATGACTAATGCAAATGCTATGACTTATTTTTAAAGATGTAATAAATTTTTTGTTCAATTACTTAGTCACAGAAATATTCAACTTCGCTTTCTTCATCCCAGTATCATTTAGCTGTACCATTTAGCTACAAAGTGAGATGTCATTCTGCAAAGAAGCAAGGGCAATATATCAGAAAGTGAGGGCAGGTACATGATTAAATGCATCTATGCGTTTCTAAGAAAGAATATAGCCAGTGGGGGGAAAAAAAGGATCACAAGCAGGTTAATAAATTATAGAAGCAAATCAATCCACAGGTTTTTATAGGTGATATTACAGATATGTTATACACAATAGGTGTAATCCTGCAAGTCTATTATAGAAGCACTGGCACATTTCTGGATTGTGTTCTTTCTCACATAAGAAGAAAACAAGGCTATAATGTATTTTTGTTTATAAGGTTTATCAATCTAATCAGTAAAAAGTCCCCATTTATCCAGTTTGGTTTTGCTTTTTGCCACAGGCCTGGAAGCAGGCTTTTACAGTCACTAGCAATGAAAAATCAAGTAGTAAGTTTCACTTCCTTATGCCTCTTCCTGCATTTACAGTTTATGTGTCTGAAATTCCCATCACAGGGAATGACACAAGGGAAAAAGATAAAATTTTATTAATACAGCTATTATACTCAAATATGTGGAATAATAATCTTATTCCTTTTGATTTCATCTTTCTAAAGAGGAAAGGAGCCACAAAAGAGATAAGCTGGGTGTCACATCACCAGTTACCTCTGCATGAAGAGCAGGGGAAATGTTCAAGCAACATTATAGGAAACAAAAGAAAAATTGGAAAAGAATTAATTGTACATTCCATTTTCAGTAGTCTTAGTTAATACTTTAAGGTTTATAGTAATAGCACCATTTTGTTTGATAATTGCATTTAAAGGAACCACAGAGAGTAGCTGTCTTAGATATTCTGATTTTTTTCCATATGTAAGTTAAAAACAACTTGGATAACCCTTTTTGAAATGCTATGACTACATAATCCATCCAGTAGTCAAAAAGGTTGGAGCTGATTGGTATAAAAAAAATCAAAGTAAAAATTACTTTATACTCTATAAGGATATAAACTTAAAATTAAAACAAATGACAAAAATGTATCAAATACGACACTGGAACCACCTAAAGAATTGTTCTTTTATATATGAATGAGTACCTGAAATACCACAGCTGATCTACAGTATATGTTTTGATGCCATGAAACAAATCAAAAGCGTCTACTGACACCAGAATAGAGTTTTGGTTATGTAGTATTTTCTTAATACAGTACTTAATATAAATGGAAGGAAAGCAAGGAGAACTTTGTATCCTTCACTGTTTACATTCTGATTCAGCAGATGAATGTATATGCAAAAAACCCAGTGATTATGAGAAGATTCAGGTCAGCGGTATTCACTATTCATAAATATAAATAAAAGCAACAATTTGTGCTCTCCAGACACTAGGGTTGGCAAAATGCATATATGTTAAAACTTAAGAAAATATTCCTGTTGAGCTCCATGGAGTTTTAGGGTTTTAAGTATAAAACATAAATTAAAATTTCAAGCTGAATTTCACTTTGAGGATTCTTTATGTGTTATGAATACAGTTTAGAACTCTGCCTCATACTTTGGTTATCTGGTAAGAGAGTAGCTAGCAGCTTTGGGATGTATGTCTAGTTATTTATCTGCATAGCTTATATATAAGTTGGGTGTTTGGTAATGGTACTCCCTGAGAATATGGGCTTCACAAGCTTCATTTTTAGAAAGAAACAATCCAGGTTAAGAGGGAAAAAAATGTGGTTAAAGTTAAAAAGGAAGCTATATGAAACGGGGGAATACTAAAGCAGTTAAATAAATTAATTTGAAATTTTGCATTCTACCCATGTTCTGTACCATTGTATTTTCCTATTTCAAAACTGTTCTTTCTAAAAGAAAAGTTATTTCTAGACTAATAATGGATTTTTTTTTTTTTGTTAATACATAGTTCCATATGTATTAACATATGGATTTCTGAGTCATGCACGTCTTCAAAAATCAGGACCTTGGCACCTAAACCACAATGTTAAAGTTTGGTATCTAAAAGAAGTATTTTTGAGCCATTTAATCAATTTATTGCTCAATCATGGTTTCACAAAATGTAAACACTTTTGAAACTAAAATGTATATTTCTTTTTTTTGCTCTAAAGAATTCAAGGGCTGCCAAATCTACATGTACAAAAAATAAGAGACTCATATGTAAATAAGTTAGGGAAGTCCCAATAGTTGTGCATCGTTCATAACTCAATGTGAATTTCACACTGAGCAGCATTTCACCATTGGAAAATAAAAATAAAATTTTTGTTCATACCACTGCTTTGTTTGTATTTACTGTATTAAAACTTTAATTACTTTGTCAACATTGTCCAAACATCTTTGGCTGAGACCAAGCTACTGCATAGCACAGATGATTTTTCAAGTCAGTTGATGTTCAGGTTCCCTACTTCTACAAATGCAGTTAAATTCAGTGAATTCCATGTGTGAAAGGGCAATCTGTCCTGAACAGTGATTTCTAAGAGTAAACTCCTTAAAGTTACTAATATAAAAAAATTTCATTTGCTTTACATGTAGGAGGCAGCTGTAGATATGTAGAACAGTACAAGAAAAGTACATGTGAGTTGCAGAATATATATGCAGAATAGGCAATCATACTTTTATATCTTTATTAGTTTCGCTCCATATGTTTCTATAGGTTATGTATTTTAAAGTATTGCAATATGTAGATTAGATAACCAACTTTTGGACATATCAACCACAGAAACTAAAAGTTCTCCTGTGGAAAAGTTCCCATTCAAACATTTTGGGTCTGTCACGTAATTGGACCTCAGTTACACAACTGACCAAATAAAAAAATCATTAATATTATATCTATAATATTTTCTCTCAATTTATGAGTTGGTTTTTAATCAGGACTGTTGGAAAGAAAAGGGTCAAAAAATGTATTTTTCAAATACCATAAAACAAATCAAACTAATTATTTGACAATATTCCACCAGTGCTACTCTTCTACAGGTGAATTGTTGCATACTGACAAGGAGACGTGACAACCAAGTAAATAATGTTAAGAAAGGGGTCTTCTTATACCTTTGCATCAGGTTGCTCCAAGAAATAGTCATTACAGGTATAATATCAGTTCCACTGAATTTACAAAAAAATCTCTGGAGAAGTTCCATAGGGCCAGTATTTTATGACTTCACCCTCTAGAGCTTGGGCTGTCGTGCTCCCTTGCTTAGTTTTCTGATGCATTTCTTTAAGGAGCAGATCCTCAAATGTGTTCTAAGGTATTTACAACCATGTATGTGTGCGTTCATGCATACCCACACCCAGATACTTCTGAAATTAAATGTCCTAGCAGCCTAAGGAAAAACAAACAAAAAAACCCTCCACAATCTTTGACATCCTCCATTACGGGTATTCTCTCCCCAGCCAGATTTCACAAGCATTTCCATTCCATCCTTCCCAGCACTCACAGTTTCCACAGCTACAAACACCGTTACCTAGAATAGAATGAATAAAGGACAATTATAATAATTGAAATGTACTACATTAAAATGTGTTTTATGGGAAGTAAAAAGCTATGCTAAAGTAGATGTATTGTTCCTTTATTGTCCCCTTTTTCCTTTGGAAGGAAGCAATTACTGTACCATTGCATTAAGAAGACACCCCACACCTATATTTATATGGCATTAATAGCATGTTCTCAATAATTCCATCAGCAGTATTGCAAATATTGAAATTGTGTATGGTGAAGTGTAATTTTGTACACCAGTGTTTGTACCCAGCTGGTGAGGCTAAGTGTTCACACTGTGCCTCCAGGTACAAAGAAAAACAAGATTAACTATTATTCATAAAGAAAAAGCCATTAAAACCTATCAACAGAATAGCAATTAAACCATGGCTTTGAGCATGAAAAACTTTAAACCTAAAATCTAGAAGCGCTATACAAATAAATTCTATCTCAAACTCTGTATGAAGTGTAAAATGTCCTGGCCCTATTTTACAGCTGAGACTCACCCATTAATTTTATTTAAATACTTTTATGACCCTTGGATGCTGAGTTTGAGACCTCTATAACCTTTGTAACTACGTAAACGCCTCTTCCTTCTGACTTTATGAAGATCCATGATTAGGCATTAGAGCTACAGATAAGGCTCCTGTTCTTGTTATACTGGCTAGTTGTCTCCAGAAAATGACCCTTCCTAATGGGGCTAGCTGGAAGACACAATTTACTAGTGTCAGCTTTCCCACTCTCACTCTAATTGGCTTGCAGAGTTCTTCCACATCTCATAATTGCTCAGCAAAGATTTTCTAAAATTAAGATTTGTAACAGGAAGCAGCTAGTGAGTTAATTTAGCAATTCCCATGCTGCTTCTTGTCACTACGCTTGTCACAAGGGTTTGTTGGCAGCCTGCCCATTTCCATCGACATCTGCCACCTGCATATTCAGACAATGTTAAGGTGAAGCTGCTCGAATCATTTACCATCACATCACAAGAAAAGCTATCAGCTCTTCCAGCCTCCCACCGACAATTGTCTGATTGCTAGGAAGCTCTCTTAACCCACACAACTATGCCCCTAACCTGTAAAAATCTATCTTACTAACCCACCAGTGAATTTTGTCTGTGACTTAAATGCATTACACACACGGAATGTCCAGTAAAAGAACAAAGGCTAAGGAAACCATAATAATGGCACTGTGTTCCTTGCCAAAACCCAGTAACTTGTAGTCTATTGCAGAGAGAATTGTTGATAGATTCCATAGCTGGCTTACTTATTTAAATTCATACTCAGGCTTTTAACTGTTGTTTTGAAACCTTAGGTTGATCATTGCGCTGCATGAAGAAACAATTACAGCAGGTTTGAATAACCAGCAAATGTGCTTCCTCCATCAGTGGGGAAAGGAGAAGCTGGGCTTTGTCTAACATAATTCCCATCAACTCAGTTTGTTTCGTGAAGCAATTAAGTGTTTGCCTATACTGCACCTGTGCAAATGAGACCATCGTGTTTGTCACAGTCTCTGTCATCGCATTCACAGAAATCACCCGAAATGTACCATTCCTGGGGTGAACAGATGCACTTTCCACAGTGGCAGGAGCCTGAAATCACAAAAATTATTACTCACAGTCAAAGAGTACTGGCACATTCAGACTAGAAAATAACAACCCAAGTCACACATATGCACACATACGCACATGTGCATGTGCACAAAATTGCTGCCTAAGAGGCTGTTGCATAAAAGAAAATAATCAAGCTAAAAGGCTTTTGAATGAAAGGATTCTTTTGGCATGAGTTGGAGTATGATGGGATGTTACTACTAAGAGCTTTGATCCTGCTATTTAAATTAATCAGGACTCACATTTTGAAGATTTCTTTTGGTTTTAGAGACCTACAATCAGAGCTTCTCTCCCCAGTAACTTCTATTTTACTTTTTTTGTACTAGCAAAGTTCAAATTGTCCCCAAGCCATTGTTACTGAAGGCAGTAAAATCACCCAGGAAGAAAAGAGTCTTCCTCATCTAAAGCTTTTAGGGGTGAGCTCACAAAAGACCAGCAGTGCCCAAGACTAACATCTATAGACCCCAAAATCCTCACCACCATGAATGAAACTTCTTCGCCTCCATGGACTTACTGAACATTTGCTCGGGTCAGAAAGAGTTTGTGCACGTAATGGCAGCTCAGCAATTGCCTCGTTCCTGCAGTGTGCCCTAACACCCCTTGTTGGGACAAGCTGTTCTTCCCCTCAAGGATGTCAGGCCACACCTTCACAGGCAAAGCAGGGACCGTGGGGTCAAATTCAGGTGATGCCATGACCCACAGAGCACCAGGAACCTCCCAGGAAGAGAAGACTCTGAGATGTCCTTACCCTTAGGAGCAGGTTCGTGGCTCTGAAATGTGGAAAGTGACAGGTGCCCCTGGACAATCATGTGTCAGGAAGCCTGAGAAGTGTGTGAAAGAGGCTTTTCTGCAACTAGAAATGCCACAAGGAGATGGTAATTCCTCCTGAATGATTCCAGCATTTGGCTGAAGAGACCTGGCTTTTACAGATCTCATCTTCAGCAGCCTGGCCCCGTGCAGATTTCAGACATTTAAATACTAAAGTGGGGATCTTACTAACTGCTAATCAAAAATCCTTTTGTGGATCTAACCCTACAAAGGGGTAACAGCAAAAATCAATGCTAAAAAAATCGTAAAATCCCAGATAAATTATAGTAAAGAATATGTGCAAAATTTTCAGCTCTGAGGGGCGGAGTTAAAAAAAAAATCTCACAAAAGAAGCTGTTGACCTTTTACAGAAGATGATTATAAATGAGTTAAATTCACTTGAAAATCCTAGCCTCCTGCAATATTTCCAGAATCATTCCATTAAAAAGTCACCAATGTGTTTAATGCATTATTACAGAAAAAAATATATAGAAGGAAGCTTGGTTATGTCAGAATATAACCTAAAAAGGATTCATGGGCTACTCAACAGGGCCTGAGCCAAAGCCTATAAAATCATGCTTTTCCATCTTCCCACTTCTTTCAGTGACCTCTGAATAAAATCCATAGTAATAATCCTAATACATTTAAAGAAAAAAAGTTGCATCTGTTGAGAACAACAAATTTTCCATTCCTTTTGCCATAAATACTGAAGCTTAATTCTTGAAAACTTCAGAACAGCCTCAGCAGAGTATCTGATTTGTAATTAAATATGTAATTTAATGCTTATTTCAAATTCACAAAAATTAACTCATTGCCTAATTTTAGGGAAATGCTTTAACTTGTAACATATGGAACATGTAAATATATTCAGGAAGAGCTAGTGATTAGAACATTTGAGGATGGAAGTATTTGATTAAGCATCTACTTTTTCTGTGGGTTCTGAGTATTGCTTACAGGGCCACTGGCATAGAAAATACTGACGTTCCCTACAAGGATCAAAGATGCTGTTGTTTAAGGAGGCAGTGGAGGATGGCAGATATATCATAGGGTTGCTCTATAAGAGGTACACTAAGATATACTTGAGGGCAATTTAAACCAAATACCTCTGATTATACAAACTGCAAGGTACGTCTGAAAATAATGAGGAATAGTATGAGGATTTTAGTGAAATTACAGCAGTTATTAAGAGTATTACTCTCTAAGAAGCCTGAAGTGATTCTGCATCAGCAAGCACTGATCCTGATACTGAGGGATGCCCATGATGTTTAAAACTATTTTGCAGAAGATGCAGCAAATTTAACACCAAGTCAAGCAAGGAAGATAAGGCTCCAAAATGCAAAATCTGTTAGGGAAACAAATGTATCGAGTCTTCTCCCCGAGCAGGGCACGCTGCTCTGGGAGGCTCCTCAGTTTAATTGAGTCTAATGAGTTGCAGGGTGTTTCCTGGGATCGCAGCCAGCTCCTCTCGGATGGGATTTGGCTCATTACCTTGCCCACATCCTGCACCGTTACAGTCACCATGCACAGCCCTATCTTTACTGCCAGGGAGGCAGCAGCGTGGTGGGTGTTGCTGTTTGCCTTGGGAAGAGCTTTTGCTACAGGTGGCACAGTCAGCGAGCCAAGATTCAGAAAACAGCCTAGGAATGTGGATGCCCAACTTTGCTTATATTAGCAGAGTGCAATTTTCTGATAGTGTTCAGCAGTAATCTACTGAAAACCAGGACTCTTCACAGTCTATCAAAACCTATATACAGAAACTCAAGCTATCCTCAATCCATTTTAGCACTTGCATATCATGGCTAGGTTTCCAACAAAAATGGAAAAACCACCATCAGTGCAGAGGTTTGAAATTCCCTTTTATTTTACCAGTAATATTTTTTTTTCACTGTAATGAATCAGAAAGAAAAATTTGCCATTTTGGTTCCTAGATAGTGCTTCACTATCTATGAACGTGTTTTAAATTATAATTATCCAGTAAGACATGATTTCCAGATACATATCTCAGCATCAAGAATAGATTTGGGGGGAAAAAAGGAAAAAAATAGCATAGCAGCAAAATTTGTAATACTATAATGTATATAATTTTTAATTAGACTGTCTTTGCCTGTGATTCCCATCCTGCTCAGAGAAGAGGCAGGAGATAGTAGCCTTGGATGTTTACTGGCCACACACTGCTGTAGATGTCTCATGGAGGTGATTTCTCTAATGTGTGCTCAGGGGCCAAAGAAATTATTTCCTCCAAAGGAAAAAAAAATTTAAAAAATTCCCACCACTCTTTCTGTGTATGGATTTAGGGTCACAAAATCACAGAATAGGTCAGTTTGGAAAGGGCAACACTAGAGCACCTTTCAGGCTGCTACAGATTAGAAAAGTGACCAGATCCCAAAATACACTCCAGCAGCATAGCTAACAGAGGTAAAAAATTCTTGATATCTGTAAATTCCTAATGGATTATCTACTCCCAAAGCTTCAAAGTAAATGGTACCCTTGCAACACATGTTCAAAGGTAATTGTTCTCACAGTAAGACCCACAGGCTGGAATAAATAGCTCTCAGCCATCCTTGGAAAAGTATAGCAGATAATATGAATATTTTAAAAATCAACATCATTTTTCATGTTTATACTTATACAGAAATACACATAGCGCATTTTATTGGTACCAAGCATATTCCTTCACCTTCCTGGTTTATATAAAAAAATCTCAGTGAGGCACACATTAAGAGAAAAAAGGCCAACTTCTGCAGTAAAACAGAGTAATTTCAGTTTCTCATTTCTGTACCTCTCACTCTTACACATATACTAATTTAAAGATAGTCCCATCTGGAAAAAAAAAAAAAGGGAAACAGTGCAACTTTCTCATTTTTTATGACATTGCATCAACTGAGGGGGAAAAAGCCCCAAAACAAAATTAAATGGCGCAATAGGGAGAATTCTGCTAAGTGATAATACAGATAGATGAAGCCTAGGCTGGAAACCCCATTTAAATTTCCTCTACACTGAAATAAAAGTTACCAAAGGGAAAACTGGAAATCTGCCTGTTGTAGAGGGTTCCTAACTGGTTTTTCCAGCTGGCAGATTTCTTTCCTGTCTATGCAAGGGACATACAAATATAGGAAATGACACACAGAGTCTGGATTGAATGCATTCTAGCCTCCAACCAGTCTTTTTTTGTCTATTCTCCTTCAGACATATTATATACAAAAATAGGCAATTTGCACTATGGGGGAGCTAAAAAGCCCTCTTTCCATTAATGCAATTTCCTAGCCTGAAAGACTGCAAGGTAAGAACCTCAGAGAATAATTTCAGATAATTATCAAGATTTTCTAACTTTTATTCTTCCCTGTGGCAATTTTTTAGAGCTGAACTGAAGCTGATGCAACCAGATGAATGAAAATTAGTAAATGAGAAAGTTTGTAGGATTCATTTGTGGGGGTTGCAGACATCTACTTTTCCTTTGCAGCTGTTTTGGGGAGCACAGGGATTAAGGGTACCAAATTGCTTTTAAACACTTTCCTCCACTTACTGTTGTCCAATATATTACATTTGCCATCTTCCCCACTGGAGTGTTACTGTGGGTAGTGCCCTTTTTCCCCAGAGTGGAAGAAGCACTAACAGTTACTTTATAATGTGCAGCTGTTCCCCACAGACCATCAGCTAAACACATACAGGAAATTATATGCTACAAACAAATTGCATAGGAGAGCAACGCTGCTGAACGCGTACGGCTGGGGTGGGTGACTGACAAAATGGATGCAAGTGCATTACAGAGCATCCTTTAACATCCTTTTAATAATGAGTGCCTTTGAAAGAGAGGGTTACTGAACAAAAACCCCCTGCCATGCACATTAGTCTTCCAGAGCATGATTATTTTCCTCTGTCAGGCACTGACACAGGCTGGCAGATCTTACCCTTCCCGGAGCACAATATGCCATCCGCCGACTCGCAGAGACTTCTGCTCTCCTCCTCCGTCATGTTGCACTTCCTTGAGTGCTGGCACAACTTTCCAAACCACCCATCCTGGCAAATGCATCGGCCACATGAGCAGATACCATGGCCTGTAATGACAGCAAGGTTGGTTATGAGCAAGACAAGCAGAAACCTGTCACTGTGGCTGCAGTGACTGTGACTGTGGTCACAGCGTCAGACCTCTTCGGTATGAAGTGTGTGCTATGGGATAGAAAGACTGATAGGTGGACAGCACCCAGCATCCAGTACCCCTTTCCAGCAGGATGGACTTCCCCAGTTCTCTCCTTCTTCTGTTAAAAAGGTGCCCTAATGATGTGCAGAAAACAAGTGAGGGATAGGTCAATTTCTCACCCAGAACGTGGGTGAGAAATAGACACTAGAAGCCATAACTCACGCTTTAAAGAAGGGAGGGGAAAGATAAAAAAGAATTTTAAAACAATTATTTGCAAAAAGGTTAATAAAAAATTCAAAATATGTTGAATAATAAGCTGAGTAGAAAATTTGGCCAGGAAGAAGGGAAAAGTGCCAACATATATAGAGAAGAATATAGGAATGGCAAATTGAAATAAAAGAAGAGATGTCTCCCAGCCAGAATCACATTTTTCAGCTTTGAATAATATTTCTGCATTGGAGACAATAATTCCTTAGCTAATTAGTTACCAGGGAAGCAAACACATACCAGTGACTTTTGCCCTATCCTATCTTCTATGTAGGGCAAGGGAGGAGAAATGATGGGACTGTGATAATTTGGGAGCATGGACTGGGAAGAAGGGAACAAGCTGTAGGAGTATCTGGGAAAGCAAGGAGCTGTAGGATGCAGGGAAGCAAACCAGCTATTTAGTTTTCCTGATTCCTGGATTTCTCATGAGCCTCCAGTGCAATTTGATTTTGTAAACTGAGAGGCAACACTGGTAAAAGGCCAGAGGAGAGACAAACCTGGTAGTTTGCTGAAAGTGAAATTCATTCAAGTTTACTGATAGTCAAATACCTTAAAACTTTCCATTACAAAAACACTGGGAGGTCCAAAGTCTTGGAGCATCTAAATATTCAAATTAATTTTTGCATCCCAAAAAATGTGTTGATTTTTGGAGATGTTTTTTATCATATTACATTATTGATGTCAATTATATTTTGATCATATTTATCATATTAAAGGCTCAGTTAATGATGACAGTCTTATTATGACAGTATTTCTACCCCCTTCTAAAAATTGATAACTACCAATGATAAAAGATTGATGCTACTTGAACTTTTGTGTCAGAATGGGAAACAAAAAGAACTGTATGATAACCCAAAATACAAGAGGTAGAAAACAAGCATATGTACTTTCCTATATGCCCCTTCCAGATAGGTGTCATGCAATTGTCTATATGGACTAACTAAAATAAAGCTTCTGTCAGAGTATTTTTATCAACCTTATTTATTTTTAATTAGTAACAGAGAGATTAGAATTCAGAATTATTTAGCTAATTAAGAGCAAAATATACAACTGGATGCCACTGCTGGAAAATTATTTCTGAAGATACAAACCCCTCTACTCTTTTAGCAGTGAATAGTAAGAAATCCATGGCAATTTCATTGAGAAAATATTTTTAAGGCATTTTTCTCTCAGTCATTACTGAATGAAGAGTGTTACTGAATGAAGAGACTGATCATATCTGTAAATCCTTTACACAAGTCAAATAATAAGGTAATGAATAATCTATAAATTTGCAGCAAACAGAGCTTGCAGTTTACCACATAAAATTTGACTGGCACTTTTCTGTAAAGGAAATTTCTCTCCTCCTTTAAGCCATATAAATCTTCAAAACATAGATTATTCTTTTGTATCAAATAATCAATTTTAAAAAAATAATATTTGTTCCTAGTTGACACCAGCTTGGGCAGCTGCAGCTTTCTGGAAGCCTCATCCCCTGAGGTGGCAAGTGTACAAGTGTTCAGCCCACTGCTTGTTGTTACATCTAAGCTATCTCATGTGAGTGTGGTAGCCTGAGAACTACCCCTTTGCATGGTCTAGTTGTGAATATCCTCCTCGCAAATCACAGAAGAAAGAGGTAATCTGAATAGCTAAATCAATATTTTATCATGTTAAGCAATTCATTTTGGCTGGAGTTCTTCAATTAGAGATTTTTCTTTACCCCTAACTATACAGATTAAGCATGCATATTGAGAAGTGTTGGTCTATCAATATTTCAGATCTAACAGAAAATGGTTAAAATCACAAGCAAACTGCATTTTAAATGCTTATTCATAAAAAGCTATGTTAATGAACTTTAAATCAATGAACTTTAATCAACAATGTTTTAAAAATTTATCTCAAAAAATAAAGACTATGACATGGGAGAGGCAAAGAAGACAAAAAAGATGGTGCCAAATACTCTGTCCTTTTCCTTAGAATTATAACTCAAATAACCACAATACTTAAATGTGAAATATGGATTCACCAAAAAAGCAAGATGTGGCAGATTACTAGCAGGGGCTCATTATAACCCAAATCAGCCTGAACCAAACTGGGTACCATGATGAATTATTTCTTCCCAGGCCTGGAACTGAAATTGTGTTGTTGTAGGAAATTTTGGTTTAGGATTACTCATTCATGCAGCAGTTGTCGGTGTTCCCCAAAAACCTGCAGAATCATTTTATACAAAAGGTACCACTACAGGGGAGCACAATGAAAAAGGGAAGCAATCATTACAGAGGAAACTGGTTCTTATATACAGACTAACTATTACAAACAGATGATGTTCCTGAAGGGCAAATTGAGGCCAGACCCAAGCAAAATTTGGCATCTCAGGAACAGAAGTTTCTCAGACTAATACAAGTAATGTATCTAATGTATTTTAAATGAATGAAAAATAAAAAGTTTTAGAAGTGTAATAAGAATATGAAAAATTGCAGCATTACACAGGATACCTGATATAGAACACCCAGAAAATGAAACAAATATTTTTTGCTGTATTTAAATAGCAACAGGATTTCCATTTCTATTTTTTCTTCTAAATCATGGAACTTTCCATTATATTATTAACAGAAGAGAATATTAAACCACATATATCTGCAAGAAATATTTCAAGGTGAGCAGGCTTCATTACCCTGCCCAAATATGCTAAACGAGCTGCTAAAAATGTTCTTTGAACACTGATTTTTATTTTTTGTTTTTTTATTGAATACCAGAAGAGTAGTACAACCAGAACAGTTGTAACAACTGCAGCTGGAGAAACCTAATATAGATGTGAATTACAATACTGACTTCTATTACATTTTCAAAGTAGGTCAGCTAGTCTTGTCTAAGTTTAATGAAGGGGGACCGTGGCTCCAGTTTGAGTAACACAACAGTCAGGCAGCCCAGCAGCACCTTCAAGTGAAACACTGCAGCAAAAAGGGCCAATGTCATTCTCACATCTACCTACATGGAGAAAAGCGAGGAGGAGCAAAATAAGAGCATGGAAGAGATGGTGTTAAAGTCCTGCAACTCTGTGATATCCATGTTTGAAGAGATTTTGGCAAAACCTGCAAGGGTAATAAAAAGTTCTGAGGAATTCAGAGGGTATTAGAACAAGTATTCTCAAATCCCAGAGAAAGACAAAGCAAGAGAGAAAACCTGACACAGACAAAATCATGTAAGAAATGAACCAGCATTTCAAACAAGGGTGATGACTATCAGAACAAACTTTCTAGTGGTGTTGGCATGGGCCAAATTTCTTTGGAGTTCTGAGAGCATGGCCTGCTCAGAGACAGGCTCTTGCTGCCCAAAGTGCACAGAATTCAACATAGGGGAAGCATGGGAATAGTGTAATGGCTATTTAAAGCCTAATAAAAGAGGCTCAACAGAAAAGCCCCTTTTGGATTCACAAAATTAATACCTATTAATCAACTTGAATGTTAATGTACTAGCAATTTCTTTATTGCTCATTTGAGCAGAAAAATTAAATTAAAATGCTTTTTGCAAACCTGAATCATATTTTATGCTATCTGAAAAGCTAAACAAACTTAGTTCTCTGTGCATCTATGTAGTGTTGACTTTTCATACACCCTCACAAATGTCTGGGTGACCAGGACATAAATCTGCAGTGCATTTAAAAAAAATTAGAAAAAACTAAAATTAATTTAATTTAATACAGACTAAGAAATGCCATTAATACCTGTACTAGCTGCAATCATCACTTCATCACTCTTGAATCTAATACCTACTGGTTGTTTCAAATTTATCTGTTTCTGCCCCTGGATGTGCCTCAGAGCTAGGATTAAACACAAGGACAGAGGCACTAAATCATTAACTCTCCTCTTAGAATTGTCAGAATAAAACCCTGATTCACATCAGTTTTATTCCAGTTAAACTATGAGTTCTCCACTATTTAATACCATAATTTTCACCTTTGTTTGCATCAGTTTTACTCAGTAAACACATATGAACTGTTGGTTGGGTTTTCTGTATTTTTTGGTTTTGGTTTTGGGGTTTTTTGCACCAGGAGAATAAATTGCATTTTTCAATAACAAATACCATAATAAAATTTCTCGATTCATACATATATATATATAGAGAGAGAGTATATCTATCTATTATATTCACTATCCATATATAGTACTGAATTCTGCAACAATTATATGTTCTTCAGTTTCCTCTATCAAAAGAATATTACGGTCCCTGCTCTAAAGACTCTTTGATAGAACAGATGAAAGAGCTGTTGGACAGGATATAAACTTTTATTTTAACACGGTAAAAACCTCAGAGAAATCAGAGGTTCAATTCAGATGCCCTGTGGCATTGGATATGCCCTGAGGCATCAAGGACATCCTCATGATGGCAGCAGCCAGACAGGCACTGCTGTGTCCTTGTGGAGCCAAGCTGGGGTCAGGCAAGGGTTTATGATTTCCTTTGGAATCACAGGTGATAAAAAATGCTTTAATTTAGGTGGCTGAAGACTTTGAAATTATGTGCTGTATAGTCAGAGAAGCCATGGTAGACTCAGGAGTCATATTTCTAAATTCTCACACCAGTCAGTGCCAAACCTGTCTTAGTTTGGGAGAGTGACAGGTATTATTTTTCTTTCTTAATTTGTTTTTTACATATATTATAGATTTCTACAAA